GGGTACTCGTACGTCTCCATGCAGTCCACGCCGCTGAAGCAGGGGTTGGGGTTGCAGCGAGAGCGGTGCTCGTGGAAGCCTGCGGAGACGAGGGCCGGGCAGGGTGGTGAGCAGGGATGAACGCACGCTCCCCGGGGTGGGAGCCGAGCCACGGCAACACTCACCGCAGACCTGGCACTCCATGATGGTGTTGCGGATCAGGGACATCTCCTTCACCTGTGAAGCAGCAGAGCACAGGGTGTTAGGGACGGGGGTGACTTGAGGAACAGAATCACAGAATCACAGAATTTCTAGCTTGGAAGAGACCTCAAGATCATCGAGTCCAACCTCTGACCTAACCCTAACAGTCCCCACTAAACCATATCCCTGAGCTCTACATCATCACGCCCCTGGGGTGCAGAACCCGCATCCAAGCCCTGCCACGTATCTTTGAGCTCCACGCTGCCCTCACAGTGCCCAGCGCCCTGCTCTTGGCCAAGCCCAGCCTGGGCAGTGCCAGTACCACTGCCCCGCCTCACCTGGTCCCTAATGTCTTCTCGCAGGTCTGTCAGGATGCGGTTGAAGAGGGTCAGCTGCGTGACCAGCGCCTTGGTCTGCTCGCCTGCCACAAGCAGGGAGGACAAGGTCAGCCCCAGCCCCAGGACAGAGGCAGCCTCCTGGGGCCAGGGGCTAGGGGCTGCCGTGCCCATCCCACACCGCACCAGGGGGCACGAGGCAACCCCCGACCCTTCCTTCTCCTCCCTCGTCAGGTGCAAAGCCACCCAGCTCCTGGTCCTTGCACTGCAAGGATGGGTGCCAGCAGCAAGGACCTGCCCAGCCACGTGCTAGTGCATCCCCACTGGGGTCCTAAGACCTCGCAGGACCCTTTCTGTATAACACATCCCATGCCCCTCTGATCTGCCCCATTCCAGGGTGCCCAGCAGGTGCTAGGGACTCTGGGACAGGCTCCAAAGGGTTTTACACCTCCATGGAGCCCCAACCACCATCACCATCCCCACAGCTGGAAAAAGGGGAAGCGGAGCAGGGACTTACCCAGGATGGAGGCCAATGCGCTTGTCACTGCAGGGAGGAAGACAAGATCTTGTTGAACACTGCTTTGGCCAGCACACGGCCTGGAGACCCAGCACACCCCCTGCCAGGGTGTGCTCGAGGGACAGAGGAGCCACCAAGGAACAAGTTCCCCCTGTGGAGGACTGCGATGCCACCTGCCATCCCCGCACAACAAACTGCTGGGCAGGCTCTTGAGGCTCCGTGGCCTTCCAGATCGCAACCCTCACCTTCCCTTGCATGGTTGTTCCTGGCCACCACGTGCACAGGAGCTCCCGTGCGCATAGGGCTGTCTGGCAGGGGGCAGAGGTAGAAGCTCCCCCTGCACGATGCGGTGCTGTGCCCCCTACGCACCAGCCTGTGCTCTTTGTGCTGCCCACCCAAGGTGCCGTACGACACGTAGCATGCATGGGGGAACCATGGCCAGCCCCCCGTGCTCGGAGCAGAACACGGACGTGCCGTTACCTGCGCTGTGAATGGATTCATCTCCCTGGAACGGACACTCGCTCAGCGCCCCAACTCGGCTCATGGAGCCTCCCAGAATCAGCTTCATGGACTCCACAAACCCCTGACGTAGCAGAGGAGATGCAGTCAGCCACGGAAGGCTCTGCCTGTCCAAGGGGTACGAAGGACACTCGGCCCCACGCGGGGGTCCCGGCACTCACCTGCATCCTCTGGTAAGCCTTCTGTCCTGTGCGCACCTCGATCGACTCCACCTCTGCCAGGGGGATCTCGGACAGCTCGGGCAGCCCCACGCTGGAGTCCACTTGCTTGCAGTCCACGTAGAGCTCCACGCTCAGCATGTCCCCGCGCAGCCCGCTCAGGCGCACGATCACCGTGTGGCTCTGCCCGTCCGCCACGTGCGCGTGCTGCAGGTTGACCGAGTGCAGCTTGTTGTCCTCCCGCAGGTAGCGCACCAGCACTGCGGAGGAGCGGGAAGGGGCCGTGAGCTCTCCTCCCCGGCCCCTTGGGACCAGTTGCAGCAGACCTGAGCAGTCCCCGCCGAGCTCGGTCCCTGTTTCTCTTCCCACATCCCCAGCGTGTGCCCCCCACGTCCCCAGGCAGCAGGCACCTACCCTTGTTGATCTTCCCCACCACGGACACCTCCAGCCACCTCGTGTTGTCCTTTTTGGAGTAGAGGCCGAAGAGGGTCCCCCCCTGCTTGGGGGGCAGGCGGAAGGTGGAGAGGAGGAAAACGTCGTTCACCGTCAGGAGCTCCATCCGGATCTTGTGCGTGATGCTGGCCATCTGCCGGGCCTCGCTCACCAGGAGCAGGTCGATGACTGCGGGGAGCCAAGGACGGGGGTCGCATCCTGCCCGGCCGCTCAGGGAGCGGGGGGATGCCCGGTTCGGGGCACCGCCGCCGGCCCGACCCGCTGCAAACCGGCCCCGCCGGGCCCGGGGAAGCCCCGAGGACTCCCGGGGAGGCTCCGCACGGTCCCGCCGGCTCCGCCCAGCCCCGACCCCGCGCGGTGGCGCTCCAGGACCGGGAGCGGGAGCGGCCGCCCCTCCGAGAAGGATCCGCGGAGTCCCCGCCACCGGCGGCCCGGAGCCCGGGAAACGGGCGGGGCCCCCGGCTCGGGGCCTTCCCCGCTCCCCCCCTCGCTCCGGGGTTTCCCTGCGGAGGCGGCCGCACCGCCCCGAGCATCCCAGCTGCCGGGCGGGGAAGGCTGGCGGAGCCCCCGGCCCGGCGGCCGCGGGGAACGGAGCGGAGCGGGGACGCGGCTCCCGTGGAGGCTCCGGGAGGGGGAAGCGCGGAGCCCCACCGGGGCCGGGCCCCGGGAACCGGCGCTGAGCAGCCACCGCGGCCGCCCCGCCGAGGCGCTGCGGGAACCGGAGCCCCGACGAGGAACGGGCCGGCCCTCAGCACAGGCCCGGGGCGCTCCGGGGGAGCACGGAGAGCCCGGTCCCGCCGGGGCACGGCAGCCCGCTCGTTCCGTGCCGCCGCACCGGGCAGCCCGGGAGGAGCCGCGACCCTGGGGCGAGCGGCGGCCGCGCAGCCCGACCCCGGCAGCCTCCCCGCCGGCCCCACCGCCCCTCGAACCGGAGCCCTCCCGCCGCGGGCACCGCTGCACAGAGCCGGGTGCGGGGACCGGCGTCCAGGCGGGGCTGGCGGCGGCCCTGCCCGCAGCTGGCCCCGGGACTGCGGGCAGCGGTGACCCTCGGGGGTGCTGGCGGCCGTCCCGAGCTCCGGGGATGAATGTCCCTCTGTCCCCAGCCCGGAGCGCCGGCTCGCCGCAGCTGCCCGCAGCCCGGCTGCCAGACCTCCCAGGGAGAGCACAGCCGCTGTCAGCGGCCCCGGGCCGGCCGGCGGGAGCCGGCAGCCCCCGGCTCAGGGCAGCGGGGCAGGGAACCGCCGCCTCCCCCGTTTGTAGCGGGCCGGGAACGGCGGGGGCGCCCCGTCCGCGTCGCCCCGTCGGGGCTGTCCGACCGTCCCCGCGCCTGCCGCTGCCCGGCGGGACGGAGCGGCACCGGGAGCCGCCTTACCTTGCAGCCCCTGGCGAGCCGCGCCGGCGGCGCCCAGCAGGAGCAGCGCCAGGAGCGCGCCGAGCGCCGGGCCCCCCGCGGCCGCCGGTGCCCCCATGCCGCCGGTGCCGCCGGTGCGGAGCGGAGCGCGGCGGGGCGGAGTGGCGCGAGCGGGGAGGGGCCGGCGCTGGCGGCGAGGAGGAAACAAAGAGCCGTCAATCACGGACGCGCATCCCGGGGACCCCGGCGGGCGCTCCGCCGCGGCGGGCCGGCCGCAGCCCCGCCAAGCGGAGAGCAGCGGGGCGGGGCGGGCGGGGCGCGGTGCACCGGGACCGGCCGGCGGCAGGGCCCGGAGCTGCGGGAGACCCCCGGGCACCTCGGCGCTGCCCGCCCCTGCACGGCTCCCGCTCACAGAAATTGAGTGTGGCAGGCGCCGGTTCACCGGGAGGTCAGGCAGTCTGGGGCCGCCTCGCTGAGAGCCGGAGCGGCCCCGGCAGCGCCGGAGCGTCCGGCCCGGGAGAGACGGGCACCGGGAGCCGCGGGGACAGCGCGGGGGACGGGGGGTGGCCGAGGAGGAGCCGCTTGGCCAAGGGTGCCTCGCGGTGGGGTCCCAGCCCCCGGGGCCAGGCGGCGCCCCCCGGGCAGCGGAGCCTCCGGGGCCGGCCCCGCTCCCCTGGCCGGAGAGGAGCGAGCGGAGCCAGGCCACCTGGAGCCGGCTCAGCGGCATAAATCAGCCTCAGGAACCGGCCCAAGCCTCCGGAGCAAAATAATGAGCTCATCCGAGAAGCTCCTTCACCTCTGCCCTGGGCTGGGAGCGGGAGCCCTGGGGACGCCGCAGGAGCCTCGACGGCCGAGCCCGACGGCAGCGGGGCGCGGAGCTCGGGGTGCGTCCAAGCCCCGGGACCGGCGCTGCTCAGCCCCGGGGGCCGCCTGCGCCCTCAGGCCTCAGCCTCCCGGAGGGCTCGGGCAGAGCCCGGGGCACTCGGCCAGGCTGCAGCTGGAGGCCGCGGGGAGCGGAGCCGCGCAGCCGGGAGGCCGGGGCGGGCCCGGCGGCGGAGCAGCCCCGGCAGCTGGCCCGGCAGCTCCCGCTGAGCGCCGGCCAAGGCGGAGGAGCAGCGCGGCTCCCCGGCCGTGTTTACGGCTGTTTCCCCCGCCTCCATAACAACGGGCCGGGCCGAGCCGAGCCCCGGGGGCCGCCCCAGCCCCGCTCCCCCCTCATCAGCCGCTCCGGTGCACGCCAGGGCGGCCGGGGCCACACGGCTGCCTCCCGCTTTCCCCCTCCCGTCCGGTGTGTGCCCGCTCCCCCCCGGGTTTTTATCTATTTTATTTTATTTTATTTTATTTTATTTTATTTTATTTTATTTTATTTTATTTTATTTTATTTTATTTTATTTTATTTTATTTTATTTTAATTATTTAATTTATTTTCCCATAGCAACGCGCTGGAGCGGCCGGTAACGGACCGCTGTGTGTGTCGGGGGGGGGGGGGGCTCGGCTCCGCTCCGTGGTGCTCGGTACCGGGCTCCGCGCATCCCCCGGCCGCGGAGGGGATCCCGGGCGCTGCGGGAGCTGCCCCGACGGCGCGGCCCCGGGAGCCGCCGCCGGTAGCGGAGCCTCCACCGCCGCCGCCGCCGGTGCCGCCGGGCCCGCCCCGAGGTGGCGGCGGGCGGAGCCGCCCCCCCCGTGTGGTTCCGGGTCGGGCGGGAAGATGGCGGCGCCCATGGAGCTGTTCTGCTGGGCAGGGGGCTGGGGGCTGCCCTCGGTGGATCCCGACTGCCTGGCCGTGCTGGTGAGCGGCGGCGGGGCCGGTGTGTGCCCGGTGTGCGCCTCCCGGCCGGGCCCCCCCCTCCCGTCCCGTCCCCTCTCCTCTCTTGCAGACGTACGCGCGGTTCACGGGAGCGCCGCTGAAGGTGCACCGGGTCAGCAGCCCCTGGAGGAGCCCCTCCGGTAAGGGTCCGCACCGGGGCACCAAGCCCCGCCGCACCCCCCTCCCCACTGCACCCCCTGCCCCATTGCACCCCCACTGACCCATCACACAGCCCTGCTCCGCTGCACCCCCCACCCCACTGCGCCCCCCACCCCATTGCATCCCCCGTCCAGTTGCATGGCCCCCATCGCAGGACTGTACCCCAGTTCACGCCCCCTGCCCCACTGCACCTCCCCTTGCCCCATTACTCGCCCCCCCCAGCGCACTCCTGTCCCATCACGCAGCTTTCATCCCTTATCTGCCCCCCTCACATTGTCCAAGCCCCCTACCCCCGTGTGTGTGCCCTCACCCCCATCCTGCACACCCCTCACTCTATGTGGGGGCCCTGCACCCCCCAGGGACCCCCCCAGCCCCTCATCACCGGTTGCAGGGGGACGCCCTGCAGCCACCCCTCTCCCTGCCCTCAGGGCGCCTGCCTGCGCTGAAGACGCGGGATGAGGGCACCATCTCCAAAACGCAGCAAATCATAACGCACCTCAGGAAGCAGGTAGGGGACGGCGACGGGCACCCCCCCGGGTGCTGCAGGGGGGCCGGAGCGCCCTGCTGGGATGGAGGGAGCTGGAGCTGGAGCAGCAGCAGCGAGGGCATCCCCGGGGATGGGGCCAGGGCTCAGCTCCCTGCTCTGGAGGCAGCGCGGTGCGAAGCAGTGCGAGCTTTGCCCTGGGGACCCAGCCCGGCTGTCCCCGTGGTGGTGTTTGTTCTGGGGGCAGGCACGACCCCATCTCGAGCCTCGTGCATCTTGGGCAAGGTGGGCGCTGTCCCCTCCATGGTCTGTGCTCCAGCGCGGCTGTGAGCAGGGAGCAGACCTGCGGGGCCCGTGGGACACCCTGAGCTGCCCGCTCCCAGCTCTTCCCTTTGGGCCTGGAAGTCAAGACAAACCTTAACTCTCCTAGCGCTGGGTCTGGACACGGGGGGGTAGAGCTCAGAGGGGGCACAGCACCAGATCCTGCCCGCTCCGCTCCTGGGGTTGGCCGGGTGTCCACCTGGGTAACCTCCCAACCTCCCAGCTCACCGAGCAGCGAGAGCAGAGCTGGGTTCAGAGCAGGGCTGGGTTCAGAGCAGGGCTGGCCCTGCTGCCCGGTCCCTCTGCACGCAGGCACTCGCTTTGTCACGGTCCCCCGAGGTTGTAGGATGGCTGCTTCCCTGCCAGCTCAGCCCCGTTTCCTTTCCTCCCCAGAAATACAACGCTGACTACGACCTCTCGGCCACGCAAGGAGCAGACACGCTGGCTTTCGTGTCCCTGCTAGAAGAGAAGCTGCTGCCAGTGCTGGTGAGTCTCAGCGTGGCCGTGGGGAACATCTCAGGGGTGCCTGCGTGCGCGGGGCACGGGCTGTCCTTGTGCCACCGCCATCGGCTGTGCCGGCTCTGGCACTCCCCGGGGCATCGGCACGGGTTGTCCTCTGCTGCAGATCCACACGTTCTGGGTGGATGCGAAGAACTATGTGGAGCACACGCGGAAGTGGTACGCCGAGACCATCCCCTTCCCGCTCAACTTCTTCCTGCCCAACTGCATGCACAAGCAGCACGTGGAGCGGCTGCAGCTCATGTGGGGAGACGGCTACATGGAGGATGAGGAGAAGCTGGAGAAGGAGGTAAGGGGATGTGTGGGAAGGAGCTGCCCAGCTCCAAACACCGCAGCTCCTCAGGGATTGCCCGGAGGGATCACGCAAGGCTGAAATCTCAGCCTGGGACCTGGGGTTCCCAGCCTGAGCACCCCCTCCCCATCGCTGTGACACTGTGACACTCTGCAGCCCTGGCTCTGTCTTCATTCTCCAGCTGTACCGGGATGCTCGGGAATGCCTGACACTCCTGTCCCAGCGCCTTGGCTCCCAGAAGTTTTTCTTCGGAGACTCGTACGTGGCTACAGGGGGAACGTACTGCGGGGACTGCAAGCCCCCTGCATGCAGGCAGGACCAAGCCCCCGCGGCTCACGGGGAAGCCGTAGCCCACAAATGTTACTCTGGGGAGTTGGACAGGCTGGAGGGGATGGAGCGACACGGGCAGGAACGATGCGAGAGCTTGTGGGATTTGCCACCAGCCTCAGCATCGCTTTTCCCCGGCTGCTGAGCACTTGTTGGAGCCAGCAAGGCTGCTCAGAGACAGGACTGTCCTGCATCCCGTGCCCCTGCCCTGTCCCCACTGCTGGGACTGGGAGCAGGGAGCTCTCCTGGCACGGAGGAGCTACCTGCTGTCCCCAGGAGCATGGCGGGGTGGCACAGAAGGCTGGGGGTGGCCGCATCTTGGTGGCTTTGGGTGGGGATGGGGGATGGAGGGCCCATGACCCAGTGGCGGATTTCTGTTCCCCAGGCCCGCTTCCCTCGACTGCCTTTGTGTTCAGCCGCCTGGCGCCGCTCCTGAAAGCGAAGCTGCCCAACGGGAAACTGCAGCAGCACCTGAAGTCCCTGCAGAACCTGTGCAACTACTGCACCTCCATCCTCAGCCTCTACTTCCCCTGGGACGGAGGTGAGACGCACCCCCAGCCTCACGCTGCACCTTTGGGGTGCCCCCCTCAAAAAAAAAAAATCACCACGAAACCCAACACTGGTGCCCTGCTGCGCTCTGTTCCCCCCAGGTGACCTCCCCGCCAGCTGCCCCGCGGGTTGGGGGTGCCGAGGGTGGCGACACGGAGGAGGACCCCCACAAGCGGCGCAACCAGCTGCTGTCGGTGCTGGTGGGGCTGGCGGCGATGCTGGGCTACGCCTTCCTGAGCGGCATCGTCTCCATCCAGCGCGGCGCCGTGGGGCCGGCTGGCCGCCAGCCCATCGCCCTGGAGGAGGAAGAGGAGGAGGAGGAGGAGTGAGGAAGAGCGGCCGCGCTCAGAGCTGTGATTATGTACTCGTCCGGCCACTCGAACTGACTGTTTTGACGCCGGTGGCCTCGCAGCGTTGCTCCCTGCAGGTGTGCTGCTCTGCGTCCCAGCAGAAATTACAGCCCTCGCCCGCCGCACCAATAAACCTCACTCTCTCCACCCGCGCTCTCCCGTCCTCCCTGTGGCCTCTCATGGTTGCAGGGCTGGCCGCCTTTCCCTTTCCCCTTCTCCCAGGTGCCCAGGCTGGGGGCACCAATGTGCTGCTCCATGGGTGCTCCAATCCTGTCTGCGCCCCCCCCAAATCCTTCCCTTACCCCCAGGAGGGCTGCGGGATCTACAGCACTGGGGGACGTGGCGAAGAGGGAAAACCGTGGGTCCTCAAGGTCCTGCATCTGCTTAGCACCTCTGTTTGCATCTGTGGCGGTGCTGGGAGCATCTCCCTCCCCCAGCAGTCATGGGGCTGAGCCCTCTGCCTCTTGCCCTCGCAGCTCCCCTGCCCCGTGGCTGCGCAGACAGAGCCCCATGGCACTGCTGCCCCCCTCCTGCTGTGCCACAGCGTGCCTGGGGACAGCCCCCGGCCAGCTGCGTCCTGGACAGTGCAGCAGAAAGCAGCAGCGCAGGAGCCCAGGCTGTCAGCAGGACGTATCCCCGGCCCGGCAGGGCACGAGCTCTCCCCTCGCTGCTGGAGGGCCGCCCGCCAGCCCGGCTCACCGCAGCGGCGCGCGTGGGGCGGCGAGCAGCCCCCGGGCCTGCGGCTGCAGCAGGAATTCCTCCAAGGATGACAGCTCTGTTTGCATTCCTCCACGCCTGCCAGGAATGGGGAGTTCCTTGCAGCTGGCACTGCCAAAAAGCACGTAGTGCGGCGAACGGCGCTCCGCAAGCCCTGCAAGACCCAGGGCTGGGATGGGGAGGGGGCTTCTGTCCCCGCACTGAGCGGAGCTGCCGCTCTCGACAGGGGCTGCCCGGCCTCAGGGCTCAGCACCCGGCCCTGGGGGCAAGCAGGGCCGTCAGCGATGCTGTGGTTTCCCCCAGCTGCCGTCAGTTTACGAGGGTGTAAATGGAAAAGCGGTGTCTGGCCAGGCTCGCGCACGCGTGTGCCCGCTGCCAGGCGGCACACAGCCCTCGCTTGTTCGGCTGCGCGCTGGGGCTGCCACCCTGGCTCCAGGTGCCCCCTGGGGTGGTGGGGGGACGGGGACGGGTTCTGCACCCTGGGAACACAGCCCCACGGCACACGGGGTCCCGGTGCAAAGGTCCTGCGCCGGGCATGGGTTTGCAGGCCGGGGGCCCCCGGGTTTGCACCGGGGCCAGGAGAGGAGCCAGGGTGTGAATGGTTTCCCTCACCCGCGTGGCGGCCGTGGAGCCTCCGGTTCGAGGGGCCCTGCCGGGAGGGGAATGACTCAACGCAGCTCCCCCCGGCCCCGCTCCCCCCATAACGTCACTCGGGAAGTATGCGCCCGACGCTCCAGTTTCCCATTAGCAGAGGGGTTTATGGCTGCTCCAGCAGCACAAACCGCAGCGAGCAGCCTCCTGCTCCTGCCAGCAGGAGAAACTGGGGCTGCTGACGTCAGGCCCTGCTGAATCCCGGCGGCCGAGCCCAGCTGCCACCGTCCCCAGGCCCCCGCTGGCTTCAGGCTGCAGCTCTGCCACCAGGACGCTGCACGTGGGCACGGGAGGGGAGCGATGTCCCCAAGCCCCCCGGGCACAGCCTTCGTGGGGCTGCCTCCCAGCAAGGTCACGGCTTGGGGGGGAGCAGTGGGGGTCTGGGGGGCCTGTGGGTACGGCCACTTCCACACCTGCCTCCTCACCCAGCTCCAGCACCGTGAGGAGGTGGCAAGGGAGGGCAGAGGACGCGCAGGCGAGGTTGTAGAAAACCTCTTTATTTTATGAAAACATCTAGAAAACAGCAGGCGTTGTGGCCTGTGGATCGGTCAGGTCCCCTGGGGTGGTGCCGGGCTACAGGGGACCGTCCTTGAGCCCCCAGGGGGGTGAAGCAGCCCCCCAGCAGCACTGCTGGCACCGGGACCACCGCAGCCATACTAGGCCGGCTGCTTCCACAGGAACGTCTGGATGGAGTCGCTGGGAGCTGTGGCCTCAATGAAGCCGACCCTGGGGTCTGAGATCCCAAAGGAGACATCCATGGGGGACCTGGGGGGGATGCGAGGAGGGAAGCAGGTCAGAGGAGGTGGCTGGGCTGTGGGGTCAGGGCGCAGGGCCGAGCCACTCACCGGTTCAGGACCACCAGGACCACGGCGCCGTCGGGGCGCAGGAAAGCCGTGTGCTCCAGTTCACACCTGCGGCACTTCTTGGAGACAGCCAGCCCCACGCGCTGCGAGCCCTCAGGGATGAACTTGCTGCAGGGACAAGCAGGGGCTGGACGTGGCACCCAGGAGCGCTGCTGGGTCCCCTTGCCGGCCACCCCCAGCCCCAACCCACCTGAAGTGCCCCATGTGGTAGAACATGGGCTGCTTGTAGAAGACGTCCTTGCTGCTGTCCACGATGACGGGGCTGTCCACGTAGTTCTTGCTCCAGTTGGGGCCCCCCTGAAGGTCCAGCGCCAGGTTCCAGTCTGTCCAGCCCGTAACGTAGTTGTTGAGGTCCTGCGGGAGTGGTCGCGGTGCTGAGCCGCACACAGCCGAGGGGGGCAGTGCGTCCCGCGGGCCCACCCAACCCTACCGTGAGGATGCTGTGGCTGTACTTGCTCCCGCGGTCCCAGCCGCCAAGCACCACCCGGGGCTCCCAGAAGTAGGAGCCAGTGGAGGCCTCCGTAGAGAGGAGGAAGTAATTGGGGAAGAGGTGGTGGGTGATGGAGAGGGTGAGGTCGATGGGCGCCAGGAAGTCCAGGTACCAGTGGATGCCGATGCCGCTGATGTAGCTGGCGGCCACGGGGTCTTTGAGAACCTGGGAGGAGAAAAGAGCAAGGCCCTGAGAGCCGCCGTGGGGCAGGGCAAAGCTGCTGTGGGGCAGGGCAGAGCCGCCGTGGGGCCTCACCACTTGAGCCCAGTAGGGCAGCATCACGCGCTGGTCATCCAGGATGATGAGCTGGACGTGGCGGTGGGAGCTGTTGGCCAGCGCAGGGCCCAGGTCCTGCGCGATGAAATCCCGCTGGTGCTCCGGGGAGAAGCCCAAGCACTGGAAGGGGTAGAAGACGATCTCGCCGGCCGTGGGCTCGTTCCCTGCTGTCACAGCCCAGAAGGTCAGGTTGTGCTTGGCGTATTCATCCAGGAACCTGGGCACAGGAGCAGCAAGGTGAGCGGCCTCATCACAGCAGCACCAGCCTGGCTCTGGGGGGCAGCCCCCAGTGCCCTTTGGGGTCCCTTGGCTGCTCACCGGATGAAGTATTTGGCCCAGGCCTTGTGGTACTTGTCCCCTGGGTTTCCCTTTAGTGTCCCCCTCCCCGTCATGGCACCGTTTGTCTTCATCCAGACTGGGGATGTCCAGGGGCTGGCGTACAGTGACAGGGGACGCTTGGCTACTGCCTGGGCAGCCTGGAGGATCGGGATCTGGGGACAACACAGAGATGGCAGCAAGTTCTCCCGGGTCTGTGCCATCTCCAGCACCACAAGTGTCAGGGTGAGCCCTCTCCTTCCCCCTGCCCTGGGGAGCCACCTTCCCCAGGCCACCCGTCCCACCCCAGCCCCAGCCCCAGCACTTCAGGCTTGCCCACCCCGTGGCTGCCCCCCATCCATGGGACTCACCTTCATCCGCGTGTCCTCCTCCGTCAGGTTGAAGTGCTTCAGCTCAAAGTCACCCTCCGCGTCAGCATAGGTGTAGAGACGCACAGAGAAATCGGTGCTGGCCATGGGGACGCGCACGAGGTTGTACTCAATGCCTGGGGAAGGAGCGGGGGGTGATGGGGGTCCCTGGGAGGCATTTGGGGGGGTGCAACCCCCCAGCCCCTCAGCTGCTCTCCAAAACCAAGGCCAGGCACCCAGTGCTCTTGCCCTGCCCCGTGCTCACCTTCCTCAGAGAAATAGGAGCGGAGCAGATGGCTCTGAGCCTCCTTGGACAGGGACTGGATGTTTATGGCAGCTGAGTCCGTGACGGAGCCTCCAAAGCCCTTCACCTTCTGGTAGCGCTGCGCCGTGTCCAGAGTGAGGTGGAAATCTGCGGGGATGAGCAGCATCACGGCCACAGCGTGGGGACGGGGACTCCATCCCTGGGGATGCGGCACCGCGTCCGCAGCCGGGGCAGGTACCTGGGGTCTCTGCATTGCTCTGGAAGCTCCCCTCGCTGCGCTCCAGCCGCTTGCCGGCCTTGCTGCTCTCGTACTTGACGTAGGTGCCCGGGGCCGGCAGCACCACGGGGTCCAGCGTGTCGCAGTACGCGGCGCTGCAGGCACACACCAGCGAGCCGTGCCCGAAGTCCTTGGCATTACAGGGCCGGCCGCCTGCAGCGGGAGGAGAGGGGCAGGCAGAGGTCTGCCACAGACCTTCCCCTGCCAGGAAGGAGCTCCTCCGGCCCCCAGCTCACCCCTTCTGCCCTGCACCCCCCTTGGGGACACAGCCCGGCCACTCACCTGCCACGGGCGGTGCTGCCTGCAGCAGCAGGAGCCAGCCCAGGACGCTGGCACACCCAGGCCACATGGCGCCTCCGCTGCCGTGGGACTCGGACAGATGCGATCAGCGAGCTCTGGGGCTGGGAGCAGGGCGGTGGATGTCAGCGAGCGGCTCCTCTGCCCCATCCCTGGCCCAGCACTCGCCCTCCCTCTTGCCTCACTGGCAGCGTGCTGCTCCCACAGGGCTGTCACCCATGGGTGTCTCCAGCCACACTGCGGCCCAGAGCATGCGCAGCCCAGCCAGAGGTGCAGCCCCCAGCATGTGCCGCCCTCTGCCCGGCATTCTGGCCCTGCCAGCCGCCCACGCTGGCAGCAGCCGGTGTGTCGGATCACTCCCGTCCTCGCCTTCCTCCCTCCCCTCTCACAGTGCCTCCTCCCCGCGTTGTGTGACCCTCAGCTGTGCTGTGCCCCAGCAGGACAGGGGGGCTAGCACATGCTGAGGCCCCACAGGACCGGCTCTGGATGTGTCCCCAGTGCCTCCTGAGCCACGGTCAGGAGCAAACAGCTCTGTGCTTGCACCCCAGAGTGTGGCAGCCAGGGCTTGCCCAGCCAGAGAGGTTTGGGGATGGAGCCCACAGCACGGGGGGGTCCCACGTTTCCCTGCCCTCTGCAGCTGCTCCCACCCTGCCTTGTCCACCCTGCGCTGCTGGGCAAGGAGCATCCCAAAGGAAACACAGGATCAGCCACCCCTGTGCCTCCCTGCGCTGCTGCCACCAGGACAGGGGGAAGCAAGGTTTGGGACAGTGCCACCACGAGACCCTGCGGGACAGGGACCGGGGCCAGGAGGGTTCTCGTGCACCCATCATCTGCCGGCAGTGACAGACCGACACGGTGCTCACAGCCTCAGCCTGGTCCCAGGTCCTTGGCCAACCCCATCCCTACTGTCTGAAAAAAAACCATTCCAGATCCAGGCTACTCACCTGCCCCCAGAAATCCTTCTCTTGCCGTGTCTCTGCTCGGGAGCAGGGCGGCAAGGCAGCAGGACCTGCTCTCTGGGCTGCAGCCGGGTAGGAGGCAACAGCTTCTGGCTGAGCAGGAAAGGTGAGTCCCAGCAGAAAGGACGGCCCATGGGATTTGGGTGCGTTTGAAGAGGAGCCCGAGGAGGGTTTTGCAACACCGCGCCAATGAGAGCTTTCAACACTTCCCTGCAGCGTTTGCAAAGTTCTCCCAAAACCTGTCCCAGCATCTGCAGGGCAGCCAGGGAGGGGGACGGCACTGCCCACCTGCACCTCTCCGCAGCAGCTCCCCCTTATGCCTTGGTCATTCTGGCCACATCTCCCCAGGCAGACACCTTCCCCTGGCCCTGACGTGGTTCTCTCCGTGTCTTCTGTGCCACAGACGCAGGCAGGAACCGTCTCTAACAAGTGCTGTGGCCGAGACCCACGTCCCACTCATGGGTCCACCAGCCAGCTTTCCCCATGTGGCAGCCGTGTGGCTGCAGGGCACCCCTGGGACCATCCGAAAGCAGCAGGAGCCATCACACCACCCCTCGCCGCCCCTCCTTGTGGGTGCTGCCGGGGGCCCCAGGCTCTGCCCCGTGCTCCCCCCACTCGCCCCTGCCATGGGGTCGCATCCCCCGATGCCAGCCCCTGCCCGCAGCAGCGCTGGGTGGAGCGGGCTGCAGCGCTGCATCGACCGCATCGCGGGCTGCGGAACAAGCCCAGACAGCGCACCTTCTAATTTAGGATCCTTCCTAATTGCCAGCACCTGCCCATCAAGAGAAACAGGATGGGGGCAGCACTTGCCCTGTGCCAGCCCCGCTCCCCCCCAGGCTCCCCCCTGCAAGGTCCCCAGGGCAAATCCCGCAGCCTGCGCCCCTCGCAGCCATGGCACAGCGCCTGGGACGGCACGGCCCTCGCCTCCTCCATCGGCACACGGGGAGGAAGGCAAGGCACCAGCCTGCGGCAGCCGTGCTTGCAGCTGGCAAGGGAGCACCAAGGCTGGCTGCAGGGGCTGTGCCGAAGTGCTGCAGCACACGCGTGTGCTTCAAGCACGGCAAACAGCAGCTGCAGGGCTCCAGACATGCCCGTGTGTGCCTCCTCTGCATGGCAGAGCTTTAGTTTAAATTAGGAAGGGAAGGAATTCCAGCTGCGGTTTGGGTCAGCGCTACCCAGAAGCATCGACAGAAGAGCAGGACGGGCAGAAGTGCCCTGTGAAAAGGGCTGAGAACCAGCCAGGTGCTGTCTTCATGTCGAGCTCCAACAAGACAGCTGTTAAACCTCTTTTTTTTTTTTTTTTTTTTTTCCTCCAACATCAGCAACTCCGCAGCTTACACACAAGTGGAATTTGCTAAGGAGCTCTCTGGCTTTCTAATTCCTGGACTTCAAAGATACTGGTAACCTTCCCAAAGACTGGAGCAAGCAAAAACTGTAACTGGTATTTAAAAAGAGTAAACAGGATGGTCAGGTAATTGTAGCCTGTCAGCTTGATTTCAGACAGAGCCAGAATAGAGGGGAGTCTGTCATGAGGCTCCATTAGCTGAGGATTACTGGAGATGGCAGGCGGTGTGAATTTATGGAAGAGATGGTATCAAATTAATCTGGCTGCCGCGGCTGCGGGGTTTGGTCGATGGGGACATGGCTCCAGCATACTCGGCCTTTTGTGCAGCGTCCCCCCGATGCAGCATGACATTTTCATTTAAAAAAAAAAAAAAAAAAAAAAGCAAGCAAGCTAGGAAAACCAACGGCACATATGAAACGAATCAAAAGCTGGCCCACGGCACAGCCTCTGGCTGCAGCTACAAACGAGGCAGCCACACGGAGGACGCGGGGACGGAGGCTGCCCTAGGACCCCCTCGGCACTCAGCGCCTCACCCACGTCGTGGAGGAAAAGGGAGGAAAACGGAACAATTTCCGAGCACGTAGGGGAAACAATGACGGGGAACGGTGCATACCGGAGGGAGCACGTCAAGGCTTTACTTGGCGTGCGAGACACACGCGAAGGTTTGGAGGGAGCCACGTGTGGAAGCGTGGCCTGGTGCAGGGCATGGTGTCCCGGGGGACGCTGCCGCACCGGGAGGGGGATGCAGTGGGACCATGGCACCCCTGGCACAGGGGTGGGAGGACCCCTGGGCCACCCCATGTCCCCGGGGTGCCACCACCACTGGAGAATGCTGGAAATGGTGAGGGGAGCACCCCCTCACCCCCAGCACCTGCCCCCAGCCCTGGGGACAGCCCCGTCACTGCCGCCGCCACAGGTAGGTCTGGATGGAGCTGGCCGGAGCCACGGCCTCGATGAAACCGACAGCGGGGTCCGAGATCCCAAAGGGCACATCCCAGGGAGACCTTAGGGGGAAGGCGAGAGGGGCTGAGAAGGTTGGCACCGCGAGCCCCCCTCCCCAGCCCCCACTGACCTATTGAGGACCACCAGGACGATGGTGCCATCAGGGCGCAGCAGTGCCACGTGCTCCAGCTGGCAGAAGAGGCACCGGCGACTGCTGTGCAGCCCCACGCGCCGCGAGCCCTCGGGGATGAACTTGCTGCAGGAAGGGAATGGGGGCTCCAGGGGATGCCAGCAACCCCGTCCCGCTCCCAGTGACCGTGGGGGGCAGGCAGCCTCATCCCAGGCATGGGGCACAGCTCCGAGGACCACTGGAGCCAGCCCCGACCCACCTGAAGTGCCCCATGTGGTAGAACATGGGCTGCTTGTAGAAGACGTCCTTGCTGCTGTCCACGATGACGGGGCTGTCCACGTAGTTCTCGACCCAGTTGGGGCCCCCCTGAAGGTCCAGCGCCAGGTTCCAGTCGGTCCAGCCGGCCACGAAGTGGTTCAGGACCTGGGCAGCAAGGAAAGGGGCTCAGGGCGGCCGCGCTGGGCTCGCAGCCACGCCGGGAGAGGCCGTACCGTCAGGATGCTGTGGCTGTAGCGATCCCCTCGCTCCCAGCAGCCCAGCGACACAGAGAACCGATAGGTGAGGAAACCGCTGCAGGCCTCGGTGTAGAGGAGGAAATGGTTGGGGAAGAGCTTGTGGGTGGCCTCCAGGCTGCAGCTGGCTGGGACGATGCTGTCCAGGTACCAGTGAACGCCGACGCCAGCCACGTAGCGGGCAGAGGTGGCATTGCCCAGGACCTGGCGGGACAAAGGAGATGCCTCAGGGGATGCCCCTGTCCCCACGGGGCTCGGCACACGGACCCCATTGTGGCCCACCAGCCTCCTCTCTCGCAAGCACCAGGGGCTCCTTCACCTGCACCCTAACCGGCAAGAAGCACCCAGAGGTGGCTCCGGCACCCTGCTGGGCACATGGAGGGACACCTCCCACCCCTCCTTCCTCATCCTCAGCAGGATGGTCGGGCACCGCTCGCCCCCAGGGCCTGCTGCTCTGAAGGACGGGAGGAACACGCTCACGCCTTGGCCTCCCCCTGCAGCTCCGTCCTTGCTCAAGGCAGAGACAGGAGCAAATTTTCCTTTCCTTGTTCCTAGTCTGGAGGAATTCCCATGACGCCTCTTCAGTAGTGCAAAGGAAGGAGGGCAAGGAGTAAAACAAAGCAGCTGAAACTGCCCCGAGAAGCAGCCGGCGTGCAGGCAGCGCCTGTGGCTGCCCCGCTGCAGGAACGTGGGATGAAGAAGCCTCCTCCTGTCCCTGCCTCAGACAGGAGCGCAGGGGTGGCTGCTACCAATTACCCAGCTCCTGCTCCCTCTGCAGCACGCCTGATTTGCCTTCCCGTCTGTCTAGGACTGGGAGCGGCTGCAGGCTTAATTTTAGGTTAACATTCAATGGTTAGGCGTGAAGCAGAGCAGACAGCGGAGGGGAAGCCCCGCGCCTCACCGCTTTGGCCCAGGCGGGGAGGTGGATGCGCTGGTCGTCCAGGATGATGAGCCGGGTGCCGTGCGAGCTCTGGGCCAGCGCAGGGCCCAGGTCCTGGGCCACAAAGTCCCGCTGCTGCACGGCGGTGAAGGCGATGGTCGGGAACTGGGGGTGCGCTAAGAGTGCCGCGAGGGGCTCGTTCTGCGCCGTCACCGCCCAGAAGGTCAGGTTGTGCTTGGCGTATTCGTCCAGGAACCTGGGAGAGGGGAGAGCAGAGGGATGCTGGCCTCACCGCGAGCATCCCCTTCCCCCCAACACGCTCCCCTGTTTGCCCCAGTCCCAGGGCATCCCGGCCCCAAGGAATGGTACTTGATGAAGTAGTTGGCCCAGGTCTTGTGGTACTTGTCCCCCGCCTGCCCCTTCAGCGAGCCCTTCCCGCGAACATCCTCATTGCTCTTCATCCAGGCCGGGGAGGTCCAGGGGCTCGCGTACAGGGACAGCGGCCGTTTGGCCATGGCCAAGGCTCGGTGCAGGATGGGGATCTGCAGCACGGGACAGAGAGAGGCTCAGCTCCAGCTGCAGCCCTTCAAAACCCCAACAGGAGGAAGGGGAGCACTGAAGGGCCCTTGCGAGGAACGGCAGCCAGAGAGCACCACCCATGGCACAGAGCCCCGGCCCTGCTCCTTGCCAGCACCGGGCGGGCACGCCGGGACGCACCCCAGAGGAGGTGCCAGCTCCTGCGGGCTGTCCCCACACACCCCACACCGGGATGGCAGTGCCCGGGCACCAGGGTCCCCACGCAGGAGCTCCTACAGAGGAGCCGATAGAAAGAGAGGGACCCAGGCACTGGCGGCGGGCTCAGCCTCCTACCTTCATCTTCACGTCCTCCTCTGCCAGCTTGAAGTGCTTCAGCTCATAGTCATAGGGGACGTCATCGTAGCTGTAGGGGCGCACGGAGAAGTCGCTGCAGGCCATGGGGACCCGGACGAGGTTGTACTCAATCCCTGCGGAGAAGGAAAGGCACCGAGCAGCACCGCAACAGCAGCTCAGGCGATGCACGTCCCTGCAGCTGGGACACCGCAGCTCCCAGTAGGGACCCAGCGAGCTGCCCCACGCTGCCGGCACCCTCGCTGCTCACCGTTCTCGGAGAAGTAGGACTGCAGCAGGTTGTCCTGGGCCGCCTGCGACAGCCCCAGGATGTTGAGGGCAGCAGCATCTGAGAGAGACCCACCGAAGCCCTTCACGTGCTGGTACAGCGCAGAGATGTTGAGCGTCAGCAGCAGCCCTGCGAGGGAAAACCCAGCCTGGCTCAGCTCACGGGAGACCTGCAGGAGCACCCGCTGCCTGCCCACAGCAGGTACCTGGGGCCCGGAGGCTGCGCTGGAAGCTCCCCTCGCTGCGCTCCAGCCGCTTGCCGGCCTTGCTGCTCTCGTACTTGACGAAGGTGCCCGGGGCCGGCAGCACCACGGGGTCCAGCGTGTCGCAGTACGTGGCATTGCACACGCACACCATGGAGTCACGGCCAAAGTACTTGGGGCTGCAGGGCCGGGCGCCTGCGGGCACGGGCAGATGCTGGAGGGGGACGCTCCCTAAGGGGCTGCGGCCCTTCAAGAGCTCTCCCCGTGCCTTGGGGTGCTCCCTAAATCCCTCCAGCCCCACGCTCCCCACCCTGCTCACCCCACCCCACCCCGTCCCTGCACTCACCTGCAGCCCTGGGCACCGCCTGGAGCAGCAGCAGCCAGCCCAGGACCCCGGCACGCTGGGCCCACATGGCACCGCCACGTCCCCTTGGCTCGGGCAGACCTGGGGGAGCAGACCCTGTGAGTGGGGGGCACGCTGTTAGGAACCCCTGAGCTGGCACAGGAGGGGATGGACAGGGCTGCATTGGGGAGCAGGGCTGGGTTGGCTGCTTCGCCTTCAGCTGCTGGAACTGCTGCCTCGCTAGCTGTCCTTGCCCTCCTGCCAAGACCCTCGTTTGGGGAGGGGAGGTGGCTCCATCCTGCCCCCGGGGGACCCGGAGCCCACCTGCCTCCGTGCCGCTTGCCATGCGTTGCTGCCTCCGGCCCCGTGCTGCAGGAGACCTCCTCCTCCTCCCAAGGCAGCTCCGAGCTCCCCACCTTGCCTTTAAGGGGAGCCGAGTCGAGACCTTCCCTCGCAGCACACCCTCCTCTCCCACCCCCACAGCTCCTCCTTGCTCTCCCTCTGGTCTCGGACCCGGACCATCAGGTATATGTCTTGCCACAGGCTGGTGGGGCCGGTGCTGAAGGAAATCAGGTCCTGTTTGCCTCTGACTGCTTCACCCCCAGGAGAGGCAGAGCCAGAGACATCGTGCTGATGGATCCAGCTGTGCCACCAGCCCTGCCAGTATGGGGAGACACAGCGTGGTGCAGCTCTGAGAAGCCGTTGCAAGGCTCTGAAGAAGAAACTAATTTCTTTCTTTCATCAGATGGACTCTGGATGAATCCCCAAAACCACAGCAGAGCCCACAAACGCACTCGGGGACATTTTGGGCTGCCCTGCTAATGATTTCCAACAGCACGCTGGGCAATTTACCCCTGCCCCTCGCCTCATTTCCCTAAGAGCTGCCACAGCCACACGCTGGGCTGAGGAGGGTCCTGGATGCCCCGGCAAGGATGGCAAAGGGCGAGGATCCACCAGGCACCGTGCGGGAGCCGGGGCTGCTGCCATGCCCGAGCCTTTTTGCATCGCTCACCCCCCAACCCAGCACTGCTGGAGGAGGGCAGCAGCAGGCTGCCAAGCGCCGTTGTTCCTCTGTTTCTGCACCAACGAGGCGGCACCGAGCAGCCAGACCCATGGAGGGGAACCCGCTGCGGTGCCAGCGGTGCCTCCACCCCGACAGCCGCGCTGCCAGGGCGCAGAGCTCAGAGCTCAGCTCTTCCACGCCTGCGGGGCCAACTCCGGGAACACTCCCTGCCACGGGGCTGCTCCTCGAGCAAAGCTTCACCGTCAGAATTGCCAGGGCTGAAATTGGCACGCGGGTACCGCCTGCTCCTGGGCACAGCGTGCGGGACACGCACACGCACCCATTTCTATATGGGCACCCTCAGCAGCCCAGAGCAGCGGGGAACAGCTCGCCCCCTGCCCGAAATCTGGGGCTGGCAGCAGAGCCCAAGGCTCCCCCCGCTGCTTCTCCACCAGCACTTGGTGAGGGTTAAACTGCTCAGCCACCCTCTGCGCCGTTAGCTCTCCCTCTCCAGGGTGGAGCAGCAATTTATGACTAATTTTCTCCTTTTCAGCCATATCAGATACAGCTGTAGGGCAACCCGATCCGTCTTCCCCTGCCCTCCAGCACTGTCCCGCTGCGATGCGGTGCACACCACAGCCCCCCCCGTGTGCCCGGGGCCAAACCCCAGGGCCACCCACTGCAGGAAGAGGGTGGCTGGGGCCAGGCAGCCCCCGGATAAAACCTAGGGAGCGAACAGGCAGCCCCAGAAGGAAGCTGCTGGCCCGTCCCCTCTGCCCCGCACGACTCCCACCTCCAGCTGTGACTAACTCATCAGCCAGGTGCTACACCCAGGCTAATTAGCCCCAGTTTTGGGGAGGGATTAATTGATCAGATGCATCCTGAGGCTGCTGGCCTGCTGCCCCTGACCTGGGATGCCCCGTGCTTGCCCCATTCTTTTCCTCCCCATTTTGGGGTCTGGCACAGCCGTGGCCCCATGGCCAGGCTGGGCTCCCACCACAGCCCCAGCAGAGCCTGGCAGCCCCAAAACGTCCCCAAACAAAAACACCGCGGAGGCTGCCGGGACAGACAGGAGCTCGTCCCTATCAACAAGGGCTGATAAGAGCTTCTTGCTCAGCAGGAAAAGTGAGACCCAGGGGAAGGGCAACGCCTCGGCGCTGAGCTGGTGGCACAGGAGCCACTGGGCAACCCCGTTGAATCCTCAGCCAAGCCGTTTCTTGCTGACGTCCCCAGCACATGGGATTTCTCGCTCCTTCTCGGGTGAAGGAGCCTGGGGCACGAGGAGTTTGTCCCTCAGCCAGTCCAGCGCCGTCCTGTGGGGATGGGAACCCGTGCAAACACAGAGCTAGGGCTGAGCTGCCCGTGCGGGATTTGGGGTCTGTGTGTGCCCCAAATGGGTCAGTGCTTTTTTTGGGGGGTTAACAAGCCAAGCCCAGAGCGCAGCGATGGGATTTTCCCCTCCTCATTTAACCCAGACTTGTTTGGTCCTTTGGGGCCGAGCAGAGGAGCAGGACAAGGGGATGTGCCTGGAGGAGGTGAAGCATCTGGACACTGGCTTTTATTACTGAGGCTGGGAAAACCTCCAAAAGTGTGTAAGTGAGGGACCTGCAAAAAAAGAAGCGGGTGGGAGAGCAGCAGCTGCTTGCTGGAGCCTGGTGCTGGGCTGTGGGGATGCCTGGAGCAGGCTGGGAGCCGCCACAATCCTGGAGAAATATTTCCCTCTTGTGGACAAACACAAAGGGCCTCTGGGCAGCAGTGGGGTCCAGCAGCCACCCCACTCCCCAAATGGCAGCTGTGCCACCCCAGACACTGGACGGGGGGCTTAAGGGGAAGTCCCTTCACTGCTGTCAGCCCCGACGGCACCGGGAAGCTGCGTCTTGCCTGCCCTGACCCAGCCCCAGCCTCCCTTCCCAGCCCTGCCTGCAATTGTGACCTCCCCTGCCCTAATCCCCCGCACACCCTCGTCGCTGCCTCCCTCCTTCCTGGGTGTGCCGGCGCTCTGCACCCACTCCTGGTCCCATGCCTGCTTACTCACCCTGCCTGGCCCCGCAGCTCCGGATGATGCTGAGTCCCACCGGGGACAGCGTGCCCCATCACAGGGCTGCTGCTGCCCAGTGGGTGCCACCTCGGCTCCTTCCCTGAGGTCTGTGGGCTGAAGCTCACCCAGGTGATTCAAAACCTCAAGCAGCTCATGGGGCTGAAAGCCGCCTGTGCTCCAGCAACATCCAGGGATCCACCTCCCTGCAGAGCCCCACGAAGCTTGCAGACCCGTGACCCCATCCAGAGCAGACTCGTGTCCCAAACCCCCCACACTGCAGCACTCCTGGAGCTGGTTCTGCCTCCAGCCCCGGTGCCGGGGAGCTCCCTGCAGCCTGGGCTAAGACGTGGCCGGGGAACCTGCAGCCCTGCAGGGCTGGGGAGCCCCAGTGCAGAGCAGAGCCGACAGGGAGCAAGCCCCAGCTCCACGAGAATGAGGCCAGGCCACATGTGCAGGGGGCTCCCACCCTGCAGGGTGGAAAGCTGCAGCCTCCTCCTGCCCCAGGAGCATGTGTGTGCAGGGTAAACCTGGAGCCATATCCTAAATCTGCCCACAGCACGGCAGCTGGGGAGCATCCAGGCTTGCTCATCCCCCTGCCAAGGAATCCCTGGTACCTGGATCCCCTCCCAGGACTGCACCCAACCACTGCACCCAGGGAGCAGGGCAGGGACCCGGAGGTTTCTCTTCCAGCCACAGACACGGAGCCAGCATCAGCATTTAATGTTGGAGCAGCAGCACCAGCGCTTGCAGCCTGTAGGATCCCCGCCCTTGGGGGTGCCAGAGCCCCCGGCCCGTGCACAGCGCTCCGGGTCCCATCTCACCCGGGTGCTCGGCCTCCGCCACTGGGGCACAGCACCTGCGCCGCCTCGGCCACATCTCCCCGGACGGAGCGCGTGGGCAGCGTGGGGCTGCAGCCCCACTGCCTCAGTCCAGCCCCTGGCCAGCCACGGGCATCTCAGCCCCGTCACTGCCGCCGCCACAGGTAGGTCTGGATGGAGCTGGCCGGAGCCACGGCCTCGATGAGGCCGACCGTGTCGGCCAGCCCGAAGGTCACATTCTGCAGGGACCTGGAGGGTGAGGAGGGGCAGCAGGGTCAGGAGGATCCTGCAGCAGGTCCTGAGCGCCAGCAGTGCACGAGGCCCAGCAGGATGGGTGCGCACGTAACGGCCTGGCTGGATGGGGACCCGTGCTTGCAGGCCGGGCTGCGTCACTCACCTGTTGAGGACCACCACCACCACCGCACCGTCGGGGCGCACGAAGGCCGAGTACTCCAGGTCGGTCTTCTTGGACTCTTTGGAGGCGACGAGCCCCACACGCTGGGAGCCCTCTGGGATGAACTTACTGCACGAGTAAGGCCAAGAAGCAGGCCCAGGAATGAGGTCAGAGCCCAGCGGAGCTCTCTCAAGACGTCCTGCACGGCTCTCCTCCCACCAAGCCGCTGCTGTGACCACAGAGCTGGAGGCCAGGCAGCTGGGGAGCCCCGACCCACCTGAAGTGCCCCATGTGGTAGAACATGGGCTGCTTGTAGAAGACGCCTTCGCTGCTGTCCACGATGACGGGGCTGTCCACGTAGTTCTTGACCCAGTTAGGACCCCCCTCCAGGTCCAGCGCCAGGTTCCAGTCGGTCCAGCCGGCCACGAAGTGGTTCAGGTTCTGCAACAGGAGACAGCACAGACGTCTGCCCAAGCAGCAGGGTGATGGGGGGAGAGAGGGGGGTGCCAGCACCACTCCCCAGGGCCCACCATGCAGGGCAGGGCAGGCTCTCACCGTCAGGATGCTGTGGCTGTACTGGTTCCCCCGCTCCCAGCAGCCCAGGATAACATCCCGCTCCCAGAAGTGGGCCCCGATGCACGCCTCCGTGGCCAGGATGAAGTAATCTGGGAAGAGCTCGTGAGTGGGCACCACGGTGTCCTGTATGGGGCCGATGAAGTCCAGGTACCAGTGGATGCCGATGCCGTGGACGTAGCGAGCTGCCTGTTCGTCCTCCAGCACCTGGAAGGGACAAGAGTCGGCCAGTGCCAGGTGCTGGGGGGCAGCAAACCAGCACCCGCACCCCGGTGCTGTGGGATGGAGCAGCTGAGCCCTCTGTAGGGACGTACGCCCCAGTGGGACCGGGCTCAGGACCCCCTGTCCTTCACTGTGCTCACCACTTTGGCCCAGTGTGGGAGGTGGAGGCGGTTGTCATCCAGGATGATGAGCTGGACGTTGCGGTGGGAGCTGTTGGCCAGCGCAGGGCCCAGGTCCCGCGCGATGAAGTCCCGCTGCTGCTCGGCCGTGAAGCCCAGGCACTGGAAGGGGTAGTTGTTGATCAGCCCAGCTGAGGGCTCGTTCTCGGCCGTCACCGCCCAGAAGGTCAGGTTGTGCTTGGCGTATTCGTCCAGAAAGCTGAGCGCAAGGGAAGAGGTGTGATCCAGGGAGCTCCCCAGCTCCGCCGCCAAGGATCCCCTCGGCGTCTCCCCCCGTCTGCGCCTCTGTACCGCACGAAGTAGTTGGCCCAGGTCTTGTGGTACTTGTCCCCCGCCTGCCCCTTCAGCGTGCCCTTCCCGATGAAGGACTCGCTGGTCTTCATCCAGGCTGGAGAGGTCCAGGGACTCGCGTACAGGGACAGCGGCCGTTTGGCCATGGCCGAGGCTCGGTGCAGGATGGGGATCTGCAGCACGGGGCAGAGAGAGGCTCAGCTCTAAGCCCCTGTGCCCCTTCCTGCGTGACCTCCTCGCTCCCGCCTGCTGCTCACCTTCAGCTTCGTGTCCTCATCCCGCAGGCTGAAGTGGGTGAGCTCGTAGTCATAGGGGACATCATCGTAGGTGTAGGCGTGCAGGGAGAAGTCGCAGCTGGCCATGGGGATGCGGACGAGGTTGTACTCAAGCCCTGCCAGGCACACGGAGGGGTTGGGATAGGCAGCGGGACAGGAGGGCTCCAAGCCCCAGCAGCTCCCAGGCAGCAGCTCCCGAGGGTCCCCATCACCAGCCCCCCTGCCTTCCCCACGACTCCTCACCTTCCTCAGAGAAATAGGAGCGCAGCAGGTGGTCCTGGGCTTTCTCGGGCAGGGAAAGGATGTTTATGGCAGCCGAGTCAGTGACAGAGCCACCGAATCCCTTTATCTTCTGGTATCGCTGCGTCGTGTCCACAGTCAGGACGAGATCTGCAGGGGAAGAAACGCAGCGTGACAGAGGGTCGAGGGAAGGCCGAGGCCCATTTCCACCAGCCACAGCAGGTACCTGGGGCCCGGAGGCTGCGCTGGAAGCTCCCCTCGCTGCGCTCCAGCCGCTTGCCGGCCTTGCTGCTCTCGTACTTGACGAAGGTGCCCGGGACCGGCAGTACCACGGGGTCCAGCGTGTCGCAGTACGTGGCATTGCACACGCACACCATGGAGTCACGGCCAAAGTACTTGGGGCTGCAGGGCCGGGCGCCTGCGGGCACGGGCAGATGCTGGTGGGGACGCTCCCTAAGGGGCTGTGGCCCCTCAGAAGCTCTCCCTGCGCCTTGGGGTGCTCCCTAAAACCCTCCAGCCCTGCACTGCCCACCCTACCCACACCCCAGAGCCCCCCATACAGCATCCATATAGCGTCCATATAGCCCTTGCCACCCCACCATGTCCCCGCACTCACCTGCAGCCCTGGGCACCGCCTGGAGCAGCAGCAGCCAGCCCAGGACCCCGGCACGCTGGGCCCACATGGCACCGCCACGTCCCCTTGGCTCGGGCAGACCCGGGGGAGCAGACCCTGTGAGTTGGGGGTCACGCTGTTAGGAAGGCCTCGAGCAGCCCCAGAAGAGCCGTTCACAGCTGTGCTGGCACCGCGTCCGCGCTCGCTGCCAGGCCGCCTCCGCAGCGCCTGTGCCAGCCTCGCCTTTAAGGGGACCCGAGCTTCCCGTCCCTCCCACGCCGCGGCTCTTCTTCCAGGAGCAGGACGGGGACAGGGCGTGATGGGGACAGGCCGAGGCCCATCCCGCACGCGTGCCTGGCACGGCAGCGCCTTGCTCAACCGGGGTCACGGAATCACGGCACCGCGCACCGGGGTGGCGGGGAGCTCAGAGCCCACCTCGTTCCCACCCCCACCATGGGCACCACCACCATGGGCACCAGCCCAGGCTGCCCCCAGCCCCCCCAAGCCCCATCCGTGCCCCCGACCCCCTCCAGCCCCCAGCCCCCTCCTGTCCCCGGTCCCCTCCAGCCTGGCCCTGGACCCCCCCCCAGGGTCCCCCCATGTCTCCGGGCAGCCCGCGCCGCTCCCCGCCGCCCCCCCCGGTGAAGGATTTCCCCCCGGTGCCCACCCCTGAGCCCCCCCCCGGCCAGCCCCGAGCCCCCTGCCCCGCTCCTCTCCCCGCTGCCCCCGTCGGCCCCGCAGCCCGGTTCCCGTTCCCGTTCCCGTTCCGGGACGCCCGAGGGGAGCCGCGCCCCCCCCCCCCCACCACCGGCGGGTCCCGGGAGGAGGCTGCCGGGCGCTCACCCACCGCCGGCCCGGACCCCGGACCCCAGACCCCGGCTCCCGTCCCCGTCCCCGCACTCCCGGCCCCGAACGGAGCCGCCACCGGGCGCCGCCCCGCCCCGCCGCTCACGTGACCGCCGGTGTCAGCTGACACACCGGCACCGGGTGTCGTCCCCCCCCCCCCCCGGTCCCCCGGTCCCCACGGAGCCCCCAGGCGCCCATCCAGGCCCCCCCGGCCCCGTCGGGCAGGCGAACACCTTTATTTGGTTCTCTAGCGAGTGGCGGAGCAGCTGCAAGCGCCGCGGCCCGGTGGCAACGGGACGGGCCCCCACCCCCCCCCCACACCGACCCCCCTAAATCTGTGCAGGGACCCCCGGGGCGGTACCGGGGGGCGGGGGGCGCGGGGACACGCAGGCACGGCCGGTGCGGGACGGGGCGGGGGGGGCCAGGCACAACCGGCGGGGCTAGGGACTGCGGGTGCAGGGCCAGGGCGCTACCGGGACAGGGCCGGGGCACGGCCAGCGCAGGGGACCAGGGACAGCAGTGGGGACAAGGCACGGGCACCGCGGGCACAGGCACGGGGTCGGGGCAGGGGACGGGGGCACAGCCCGCTTGGCCCCACAGCGGCCACCCCAGGGGACCAGCCCCTCGCCCCCGACCCCGGGAAGGGGCCATGAGGAAGCCCCAGGACAGCGACACCGGGGCCTGGCCCCGCAGGCGGGGGAGCAGCATCCAGGAGCGGGGCCCTCCCGGCACCCCCCAGCTCCGGGGTCTCTGTGGAGGCCAAGGCCGTGCCACGGGGCCAGCGCTGCCCTCAGAGGACGCTCTCCTTGCAGGTCCCGCTGAGGCTCCGCGGGCGGCCACGCTCCAGCCGGCGGGCGGACAGGAGCCGGCGCAGGGACGAGGTGGAGCTCAGGTCCCCGCAGCTCCGCAGGTGGATGCCTTCCTGGCGCTGCTCCGCTCCCGGCCAGGCGCTCCAGGGGACCTGCAACCCCATGGGGACAGGCTGCGGCACTGCTTGCCCACCCTATGGGACGACTCCCGCAGCAGGAGGGGATGCCCGTGCTTTGGGGGAAGCCCGTGCGCTCCAGCAAGGAGGCTGGAGGCAGGCGGATGCGCTGGGCAGGACGGCAGGAGTGGCAGGGGATGGCAGAGGCGTGCGTGACACGCACACGCTGTCATTAAGGACAGACTTGTTCCCATCGCGGCTCCCCGGGCTGCGCAAGGTCTCCAGAGTCCCGCAAGGGAGGGCTAATCCCAGAAAGCAGGAAAAGGATCATTACGCTCCCCAGCTGGGAAGTCGAGGCTGGGATTTCACAGCGGCTTCCTCGAGGCTGCAGTGACTCAGGAGCAAAGCCAAAGCCATTGCAACACATGGGGCTTTCACACTCACGGCTACAGCTGGCCAGGGCCAAGGGGAAGGGACGCATCCTGGCTCAGGACAGGCAGCACCCAGCCGCAGGGGGACAGAGAACCCAGGACCCCAGGGAGGCCAGCGCCGAGGTGCTGGCAGGTGGGAGAGGGCACGCGTGGGGCTCCCTGGGGAAGGGGAGCTGGGGAAGGGTGGGCAGGGACGCCCCAGCTGTCAGAGCCTACCTGCTTGTGCCCCTGGGGGCTGTGCCCAGGCACCTCCACTGCAGCTGCGGGGTTGCGCTTGGGTCTCTGCAGGAACCTGGCCACCAATCCACGGGTGCCCCGGCAGACCTTCAGGTCCCCCAGGGAGCGGGTCGTTGTCTTCGACAGCTGCTGCGTCACCTTCTTGGACACCGGCAGCTTGTTCTTCCCCACGGAGCCAGCGCGGAGCAGCGGGGGCGAGTCACAGTGCGAACGGTGGAGCAGGCAGGCCTCCGAGCACAGCCCTGCAGAGACGCAGCTGTGAGGTGCCAGGCAACGTGGCCATGTCCCTGCAGTCCCCGTCCCCACTGTCCCTGTCCCCACAGATCTGGGGACCCTCTCGCCTCCTGTCGCCTACCAGTGGGCACAGAAGCACATGCAGATCTCCAGCATCCCATCGCCAAAAAGGGTGGTGCTGACCCCTCAAGGGGCTGCCGAAACCCTCCCCCTAACCCTCCCCACTGTTTCCCAGTGCCCGCAGAGGACCGTGCCCTGACCTGTATCTGCAGAGGAATTGGACACGTTATCCTCCAGTGCTTTGGTATAAAGTACTTCCCTGAAATCTGCTGGAAGCACAAAGAACACATTCAAAGTTTGGCATTGTCCTGTGCTGCCGTGCAGCCCCACAGCATCAGCCAGTGCCCCCTCTAGGCCCAGCACCAGCATCCCCATCCTCCCGGCCAAGCAGTCCCTGTGCCTGCCTCTCCCCCTTCCCCTGGAGCAGCCACCAACCCCAGCCCAGCTTTAACCCTGCCCGGCCTCAAAGAAATGCAGCAAAGCCCACGGAGCATCCCAGCTGCACCAGTCAGAAACCGCTGCGCACACGTCCCCGTCTCAGCAGCCGTTCCCACCTACCGGTGTCACCAACCATCAGGACACCGGGGTCGCTGTGCGATCTCACGAGGGGCCGCTGGCTCAGCCCTGGGGCTGGAGATGAGGGGCAGGAGGTCTCGCTGTTGCGCCGCGGGTGGAAGAGGCGCCCGCTGCCGGGTCCTGCGGAGCGGCTGCCCCTCTGCCCCTGCAGCGAGCTCTTGTCCTTGAGCCGCACCTCGGGGAAGCAGGGCCCGATGCAGCGGGCCAGCCCCTCCAGGCGGTTGCAGCTGTGGGTCACGGCTCCCCCCACCAAGATCCCGTTGTGGCCGGGCTCTGCCGTGGAGCAGGAGTAGGAGCGCTCGCCACGTGCCCGGGGCTGCGGCGTCTCCTCGAAGGGCCCCTGCAAGCCCAGCGTGGGGCTGCGCGCGTGGTGGCTGCACTGCACGCAGTCCACGCTCAGGCAGTAGTCAGCGCGGCTGCGCTGGATGGAGCGGAAGAGGACGTAGTCCACGGAGCGCATGGAGCCCTGGAGCTCCAGCAAGCACGAGTCCTCCGAGGGGCTGCTGTCCCCGGGGATGTCCACGATCTCGGACATGATCAGGGACCCGCTGTCCATGGACACTGCAAGGAGAAGAGTGGGCGTCAGCAGCGAGCTTGCTGCAGAGGGCAGGTCCTGCAGCTCTGGGCCCGGCCCGCTCCCCCCTGCCCCGCAGCGGGGGTGCGCAGACAAGGCCGCGCTCACCTTCCCCGCTGAGCACGATGGAGGGGACGCGGTCGCAGGTGCAGGCGTGCGAGCCGTCGGTCAGCTGCGAGTCGAACAGCGTGGCCTGCAGGGCAGCACCATCAGGGCATGGGCAGGGCAGGAGCGGAGCCGCGCTCTGCCCACGGCCCTGCGGCTCCCACCTGGCTGTCCCCGCGCAGCCCCATCACGGTCTCGTAGGAGGGGGGAAAGTCGGTCGGGTAGAGAGGCACAGGGCTGTCCATGGAGCCAGTTGTAGGTGATGCTGAAGAGGCAAGAGCAGAAAAGCCACCTCAGGTGGGACTGTTCGGTGACAAACGCCCCCCCTGCTCCTGCACTGAAGCACACAGGCCCGACTACAGCGGCCTTGCTCCCCGCTGGGTACCTCTGCGCGTCGGTCTCGGAGCTGCACGTGTACTCGGGGGGGTAGTACGGGGGGGGTGGCACCGGAGGCACGAACTCCTCGAAGTCCAGCATGCTCTGCAGAAAGGTGTCGGGGGGCGACGTGCATTCCAGCGTCACGGAGTTGGAGCGCTGGGGGACCAGCTGCAGGGAGAGGGAACAAGGAAGAGCTGGCGTAAGGGGCAGACACTCCCCGTCCAGAGATCCGGCAGGAGCGCATGTCCTGCTCCTCTTGTTCCCCGCAGGGCCCCTCAGCCAGGTCCTGCCCCGGCCCCCTGGTGGCCCAGCCAGCCTGGGGATGCTGCCCAGTCCCGTGTCCTCGCGGGTCAGGGCCGGGCCTCACCACGTGGACGATGTCCAGGGAGAAGATCTGGATGCAGCACACGACGGCAGAGAGTGTGCAGATGATGGTGGAGAAGACGGTCAAGCCACAAACGCTGAAGAGGAGATCCTGGGGAGGAGCAGGACAAGCTATGGGCGCCCACAGAGCCTGGAGGGGCGCGCAGCTGCTCTCCAAGGAGCCCTCACCCACCTTGAGTGCCACGCGGATGCTCCGGCAGTCAGGGTTGGGGAACATGGTCAGCATCTCGCTCTGCTGGCTGCAGGAAGCAGGCGCATGCTCCAGGTAGGTCTGGCAGCAGACGCACGAGTCCTTCTCCTGGGGACGAGGAAGGCCATGAGGGACCTCCAGACCCCGTGCTCTCTCCCAAGAGCCACCAGAGAGCCCAGCCACCAGCTCCCCACGTCCTCGGAGCCCTGCAGCTAGGGACGATTCGCTGTGCCACGGCCTCTCCGCCTTGTCCAGCCTCACCCTCTCGCAGGCCTCCAGGGACTTCACCAGCTGCGCGTTCTGGCAGGACAGGATGGACCCGGCCAGGCTCAGCATGACGCCCAGCACCGACAGCAGCGTGAAGAAGGTGATCTGCAGCGGGGAGGAGAGGGGCTGAGAGCTGGGCAGGGCTGGCAGGGCAGGGAGCCGAAATGCGGGCACGGCCACGAGTGTGAGGGTGGAGGCGGGGGGCACACACGACCCCCTCCAGCCTGCCCAAAAACATCTGCAGAGGGGAGGGTCCCCACGACACCTACCACCAGGGTGAAGGGCCGCTTCCAGGAGACGATGCCAATGAGCCCGGACAGCGCCAGCTGCAGACACACGCCCAGCAGTGAGGATGGGGAGGGGTCCCTGCTGGGCAGCGTGGCCCAGAGCAGCCCCCCCCCTGCCTGGGAAGAGCCCCCCAAGCCTTGCTGGCCCAGAGCTGGCCCGGGAGCAGCAGGGCCATACGGACTGCTCCTGTGCCGCAAGCCTGGAGAAATTGCTGATTCAGGGCAGCAGAGAGCCCGGGGACTGCAGGCAGCTCTGTGCCGGGCAGCAAGGCCAGGCCTGGCCCGGTGCCGCAGGGTCACACCGGGGTCCTGCCCTCACCCAGTGCCCATGGCAGGCAGAGCATCCCGTGGCACAGCTCGGGACCAAGGCCAGGCTGCCCCGTACCCCTCCACGCTGCCACTGCCGCACCCCACACACCCTTCCCCTGCCCCTTCAGACAGGCCCGTGAGCACATCACCTCGATATGTGCCCCCCACCACCAAGACACAGCCCTGGGGTCCCCATCCCTCACAGTCACCCCAGGGGAACCCCCGGGATTCTCCCGCGGTGCCTTGCGGCAGCCCCCGGCACAAGGTGGGGGAGCATCAGGGCCACACTCCCCACGGGGACCGGCAGCAAATTCAGCACGGAGCCTTGGGAGCAGCGGGGACCCAGAGTTGCAGATCCACAGTGGGCCCCTCAGCACGCGAGCCCCTGCCCCGCACTCACCGAGAAGCCAGCCCAGGAGGGGCAGGAGTGACGGATCTTGGCGGAGGGCGTGATGGTGGCTGCCACCAGGCTGAAGGTGACGATGAGGACGCCCAGGATGACCTGGATGAAGCCCAGCACCAGCAGGATCTGCAGCCAGGTCCTCTGGACGCGGAGGTGGGTGAGGCTGCGAGACGTGCGGCCGGTCAGCGAGTGGCTGGAGTCGCTGGGGGAGGGCATGGCGGCCCCGGGCAGCGAGCGGGAGCCACCGGCCCCACAGCCCCCTGGAGCCCCGGGGCCGCCGGTGGGACCACGCCAGGACGGGGACGAGCGGCCCAGGGGAAGCAGGAGCGGGCGCTCGCCACGACCAGGCCGGGCTCCACCTTTTGTCTCCCGGAGGATGCTGAGGGTGGTTCTTCCCCGCGCTGGGTGCTCGGGGCAGCGCCCACGGCCACGCAGGACCCGGGGCTCCCAGGAGGTCCGCGGGATGTCCCGGGAGGACAGCCAGCCTCAGCGGTCCCTGCGCATCCCAACGCCGCCCTGGCTCGGGCCAGCGAGCCCGCCTGGAGCCGCGGGCCTGGGGCTTCTCCCCTCTCGCCGTCCCTCGAGCCCCGGGTTCAGGCCGCCAGGCGCTGGGGCTGCTCCGCAAGGAACAAGAGACGGTGCCGGGAGCGCGGCCCCCGGGCCGTGCAGGGGGTCCCCGAGGCAGCGGCAGGAGGCAGGGGCGAGCTCGTGGCTGCGCTCCCCCCCCGAGCCCCCGAGCATCCTCCGGAGGCAGCGGGCGCAGGGTCCGGGCGCACGGAGCCCCGCGCGGAACCGGCCCGGTCCGGGGCCCTCCCCAAAAAAAGAGCCCCGTTTCCTCCGCTTCCTCCGCTGCCGTTACCGGCGGCCGCGCCGTCCCGGGCCCCCCAGCCCCGGCTGCGGGCGGAGGGACCGCCCGGCCGGCGGGATGCCGCGGGGAGCGCGCCCGAGCATCGCCCCCGCCGCGGCCTCCGGGGGCCGCTTCCCGGAGGGCGGCGGGGCGCGGAGCGGGGTCGGGGGGGAGGCGGCGGAGCGGGCGCGCCCCAGGCGGAGCCGGGCGGATCCGGGCTCGCTCCCGCCGCCGCCCGCAGCCCCGCCGGGAGCCCGGGATGCGGCGGCCCCCCCCCGGCCCGCCCCTGCGCGGCACGCCGGGAGCTGTAGTCCGGGAGGCTCCGGTGCGTCCCCGTTTCCCACCCCCCCTCCCCGTGGCGACGCAGCGGAGGCGAGGAGGAGTCGGAGTCGGTTTATTTCTTAAATTAAACCTGAAGGCGGCGTGGCGTTCGGCACAGCAGCACGGGACAGGCCGGAAGGGGAGCAGCGCGGCCCCGGGGCAGCAGGAGGGGAAGCGGCCGCCGGGTCCCAGCCGTGGGGGGCGCAGAGCGGAGCCCCCCCCCCCCAGCAGCAGGGAGCCGGCCCCAGGGGAAGGCACGACCCCGTCCCACCACCCCAGGAGCAGCAGGAGGGGAACCAGCCGCATCCACTGGTGGATGAAAGCAGAACTCATGGTCCCCAGTCCCCTGGTCCTCTTGGGGGCACTGGTGGATGGGGCTGGGGCCAACAGGGGTAAGGGGACACGGGGCACAGTGTGGGCAGCGCTGCACACAGGGACGGGCTCAGCCCCCCAGGAGGGAGGAGGGTGAAGCCACACAAAGAAAGGACACAGCGGACTGGGGAGTGCTAGGGACAGGGAGGGGGGCACCGTCCCCACAGCGGGCAGAGATGAAGAAGGGAGAAGCTGTTCACATCCCCGAGGGCTGGGAGCAAGGAGGGGCAGAGGGAGCTCAAGCTGGAGAGGTACAAGGAGCCCTCCTCAAAACCCAGCCCGGATTTAGGGTCCACCAAGCACCAGTCCCAGAGAGGGACTGCACGCAGGCTAAAGGCAAAGAGCCGCCAGCAGAAGCTGATGCGCCACCGCTGCCTGCAAAGCAGTGCTCTCCTCACAGCCCCGTGCTTGGAGTAGGCTCAGCCCAGCACCATGAAGGACAAAGGAAGGGAACTGGATGGAGTCTGCCTCCCAGCTCAGCACCCTAGGGACAGAGCCAGCCCAATCCCACATGAGCACTCCCCTGGGGAAGACAGGAATGATTTCTGGGCAGGGACTGAGGTCCTGCTTCCAAGAAGAGGCAGGCAAAAGCCTCCAGGGCTGAGCCAGCCCACACACACCCTGGGACTGGACACAGGTGGGAACCCTCCATGCCCTGGAGCACATAAGTGGCATCACCAGGTGGGGAAAGGGGAGATCCTGGCCAATAGAGAGGAAAGGCAGCAGCCATTTCAGTCCCTGTCACGCACCCGGAGGGGACTCCTGCCCCCCAGCAACTGGTGCTGGAAGGAAGGACAATGACTGGGCCACTGCACCTCCCCCCCCGGCTCCTTCCCCCAGTCCGCTGAGGGAAGGGGACCAGCACGAACCAGACCAGCCTCCATCCACGAGGAAAGGGGTTAGAGCAGCAAACGATTCAGGCACCAGCACTTCCAAGCTGGGATGAGGCAGCCTCTGACAGCTGATGCAGACACACGGGGATCCAATGAAAGTGCAACTTGGATTTCCTCTTCTTTACCAAACAGCCCACGTGTGAGGGACAAGCCAGGGCCCCCACCCTGCTAGGGTGCCCGGAAGGCGTTGGTGGCTGCACCCGCAGCAGCGTTGGCCGCCGCTGTGCGCACTGCCTGGTTGGAAAAGACCCCTGCGGCAAACTCCTCCTGCGCCTTCTGGAAGCTGGCACCCGTCCGGCGGTACAGAGAGTGAATCTGGAAGAGAGCAGCAGGCTCAGGAGTCACTGCCCCAGCCCCATTCCAACACCAAGTGCACAGAGCTGTGCTCCACGCCAGCCCAAACCCACGCGTCCCGATGTTTTGCCCCCAGTGTTCACTCCTCGCTCACCTTCTTCAGCATAATGATGCCCAACACAGCCACCGCTGTGAAGAACAGGGACACCAGGATCATCATCACAGCCACAGCCGTGTTCTTCCTCAGCGCTATCAGACTCAATATCCAGCCACTGTAAAACAAGCAGTGGCTGTCCACGGGTTCCCTCTGCCCCACCCGCCTCCCCCTGCTCCAGGGTGAGCGCAGCACGTACCTGAAGCCCCAGTTGGGTATGCCGATGGCCTGCAGCACGTACATCACATTCTGGGCAAAGAAGACGAAGAAGAAGACAAAGAAGTTGAACGAACTGTCACTCCTGGGAGAAAGAGACAGACGAGGTTAGGCCAGAGAAAGGCACCAGACATGCAGCCACCTCCCTTAACCGGTGGTTAAGGGACTTGTAATGGGGAGAGGGGGGAAGCAAGAGGAAGAGGCACAAGGCAGTACAGGGATGTCCAACAACAGCCACAGGAAAACACTCCAGTGACCTCCTTTGCCCCATCCAGAGCAAAACGTGTTCCTCACAGAGGGGTTCAGCCCAGGATCACATCCCAGAGACCCATAGGAAACACAGGTACGGTGCTGGGACACCCTCAGTGCGCAGTCCTGGTTTAGCACAGAGCCTGGTTTCCTCTGTTACAAGCACCAGCCTGGCAGATGTCCCACCCCACTGCTTTGCTGGCCCGCGAGCTCCAGCAGATACACACCTGAAGGCTTTGTACATGGGCCTATACCAGCAGACGAAGGAGCAGGGCGTGTAGAGAAGAGCCCAGAGAATGGAGAGGCCGAACCCAGACCCTGACGAGGGATCCACGCAGAACCAGGCGAGCGAGGACAAGAAGTTCAGGAAGAGAGCAATGGTGCTGGCTGAGGGAGAGGACATCGGTCAGGCGCCCCAAGCAAGGCTCGCCACTCCCCATGCCAAGAAATCACCCCCCTGGGCCTAGGCACCGAGTTGCAATCGCAACTCCTCCAGAGCAGCAGCATTCCCTCACGTGCAGGAGGCTCGATCCTCCACCTGCTCCCCAGACCTCACGTTCCACGCGGGGACTCACCCATCCAGAGGTAATACATGGTCGAAACTGTCTTCTGGAAGTCAGCGGGGATCTCCACGGGGATGTCCTGGTAGAAGCAAGGCTTCACGGGGCAGAAGGACGGTAGCGGGGGCCAATTGTTCAGTCTCGCTGCAGAGCAAAAGGAGGTGAGAGGCGGAGAAGGGCAGCACCGTGCAGAAGGGGCCCGAGGGGCTCGGGGCCGCCGCCGCGGGGGCACTCACTGGCACCGCTGCCGAGGGCGGCGTTCTGCAGCTCCCGCTCCCGCCGGTCCAGCTCCTCCGCCTTGCGGTTCAGCTCCTCCTGACGCTTCAGCAGCTCGGCCGTGGCGGCTGCCGCCGAGGCCTGCGGAGGACACGCGGCGCTCAGCTGCCCGCTCCTCCCCCGGCCCCCCCGGGCTGCCCCCGCCCAGCCCCGGTACCTGCGTCCCGTAGGAGCCGTAGTTCCGGGGCTCCGTAGGGCTCGGTCTCCTCGGGGGCTGCGCGGTTCCCTGCGGCGGCGGCACGCCTACGGCGGGCGGGGCCCCGGCCGGGGCATGGTACGGCGGCGGCGGCGGCTGCGGGACCGAGAGGGAGGCGCTGAGCCGCCGGGAGCGCCCGGCCGCGACGCGCCGAGCCCCGGGCAGGGCCCCCGGGAGGCGGCCCCGGGACAGCGCGGGGCCCGGGCCCACCCCCGGCTCACCGCGCCGTTCTCGAAGGGGTTGTAGGCGTCCAGCGCCGCGCTCTCGGGGCCGGGCCGGTGCTGCACCACGGCGGGGTCCTGCAAGAGACGCGGCGGGGGCTGGCACCGGGAGCGGGGCCGGTACCGGGGCCCGAAGCGAGGCCCGGGGGCGGAACGGGGCCGTCCCGCACCTGGAAGGGGTTGTCCGGGAGCACCGCGGGGCCGCCGCGCTGCGCCATGGCCGCTCCGGGACCGGCACCGGCAGCACCGGGACCGCCCCGCGACGGCACCGGCGGCTCCGGACGGGCCTCGCCGCAGGGGGCTCTGCGCCTGCGCGGGGCGGGGCGAGGCGGAAGCGAGCACGTGACGCGGCCACGTGGCCCTGGGGTCACGTGGCGCCGAGCCCTTTTCTCCCCCCCCCCCCCTCCTATTTCGGCCGTCTCTGCCCCGTCCGCAGCGCAGGGGCTGCTGGGAGCGCGTCCCCATGGCAACGCCGTCCCCATGGCAACGCCGGGATGGGGCCCGGCCTCCCCGGGGCCTACCAGGCCTCACCGGGCCCCCGGGCCTCGCCCCACCCGCCCTGGGCCCCGTTCAGCCAGGCCCAGCAAAAAGGCGCTTCCCCCTGCGGGGACCCAAAAGGTCTCAGCCCCAAAGCCGAAGATTTGCCCAAATCTCGCCGCTGCAGCCCCGGGGCCAGGCGAGCGTTAGCCCCGGGGGCAGCAAGGCGGCTGCTTCACCGCCCCCCAGCGATGCACGGCGGGTTTCGTGGACGTGAAACGGTCAGGGAGGAATTGGTGGCACGACAAGCGGCTGGGGTAATTAAAGTGGTGCCTCCCGGATGGGTTATTTATAGGGATCACCCATTCCAGCAGCTACAGGCAGCGTGCCGACAGCCCCTTCCCAAAAAGGAATTCCCCAGCACAAGAGAGAAATCCCCACCTGCCTCTAGTTCCCATCCCAGACTTCAGTACTCAGCAGCAGCTACGCCTCTTGTCTAAAAATCTCCCCTCCTTCTGAATAGAGGAGACTTAAAGTTACGCACAAAGCTGTGAGCTCCCCCCTCAGCCCGGACAGCTGCCACCTCACTGTGGTGCTCTTGGCTGGGAAGTTAAAAGCTGCAGATTCAGATTTTGGACACCAGGGTGCTGTGTTTTTTGAAGTCTGACAGACTGCAGATATTATTTGCTCAATTTAATTCCAATGCAGGCTCACCCAGGGGCTGGCTACAGATGCAGCAGGACCAGGTCTTCCCCCCACTCTCATTCCCTGGCACACACCACCTGTGAGCTGCGTGGCTGGCTGCCGTCTGACTGGGCAGTGCTGCAGGAACCAGGTAAAAGCTTCCAGCACAAGCTCTTTAAGACCACAGGTGCGTGGAGATGAGCCAGTGTCACTCCTTCTGTGACACGCCCAACTAACTCCAGGTGAAGCTGGTGTTTTCCTTTATCTCTTTGCATGATAACATGGACAGTCTGCCACAGACTGATGGCACAGCAACAAAGGGGGACACTTGTGTAGAACAGACCACGTCTGCTGTTCCTGACACAAGACTCTTGCAGACACGCGTGGGCAAAGCAGCAAGACAGAGGTCCCATCAGGTCTATGACTTTTTTCCCATGGAAAAGCCCAAGTCAAGGGCCCAGCCTCACAAAAAGGCCCAGCCAGACCCATTTCCCTGTGCTGGGCTACAGCACACACTGTTGGGCCACCCCCTGTAGGCATCTGTACAGCCCTCGATCACCTGCCCATGGAGTAAGGGGGTTTCTCTAGTAAAGCAGCACCGAGGCTGCTCCCTTCAGACCTTTTGTGCCTGGCTTTACCACACATATCTAAGTAGTCCCTGTTATCCTTTTGCTAGGAGGAAGACTTGTTTCATATATTAAATCTTCCCACCTTTGAATACGAGTCTCAGGGCACAACACAGGACCCACGTTTGGCCACCCACCATGCCAGAATCTGCTCGTCCTGGACCTATTTCAGGCCAGCTGCAGCAGCTCAGAGCAGCTCAGACAACAAGACCATCATCCAAGCTTGGGAAGACCTGGGCAGGTGGGTGAATAAAGCTGGCTTTGTTACCCAGGGGTTTACCAGACTGAAGCAGCTTTCTTCCTGCAACACGAGGATGCATCTTCCTTGTCTCTGCAGGGTGCAGCACAGTCACCGCCTCTCAGGAGTAAAAACCACCAGCAGAACAGCCTCAAGACAGGCTGCAGCTGGTCCAAACACAGGCCGGAAGGTTTATTCACTTCATATTTACTTCTCACAAAGACTGTACAAAATTCTTATAAAACTCTGGTGTGGGGATGGGCTATGACATTGATCCAAAAAATAATTCCCATGCAATCCCACCAGTTTCATAACTTACAAGGAAACAGATAAGCTACAGAGCTGCGAGTCCTGGAGTATTTACACTGAGGCGGGCAGGAGAGAACAGGAGACAAAGCAACACATGAACAGAGGTATTTACAATATGGACATACAAGCCCCTCGCCTCACGATAGCGGCAGCAGCAACAGCAGGAGGTTGTGGTGCTCAGAGGCTGATAGAGAATATGGGCTATTTACAGTATCTCACATATTAACAGCTTTACAAACATGTCCAGGGAGTTTATGTATAAAAAAAGCACCAAATGTCTGAATAGAAATCACACAGGCCTCCACGGGGGCTAGAATCTGAGGGCAGGCTGGCACCTCTGGCGTCACCGGCTGATGTCTCTGCTAGAGTCCCACATTTTTGTGCTTGGCTCCATCTCCAGCATGTCGAAGAACGGGTGCTTGAGGGCTTCAGCCAGGCTGATGCGCTTGGACGGCTCGTACTCCAGCATGCTCTCAATGAGGTCAAAAAGGCGGTGATGGTCCTCGGCCTCAGAAGTCAGGTACCGCTGTGGAGAGAGAGGGGAGAGGTCAGGGCGGAGGACGCTGCACCCCGTGCTGGTCACAGAACACTCCCTGGGCTGAACAGCTAAGGTGGGGGAGGACTGGTCTGTTCAGACCTGCATTCATCCTAAGCCTGAACTCTAGGCCACTTTAACAAGCACAGAACTGTCAAGGGTTTTCCCCCTTCCCCATCTTCCCCAGACACTTCCTGAAGTCTCCTTGCCCTCCTCCTCATCCACTTGAGGTTAAGCTCAGGCTGCTGCAGTCCTCCTAGTTTATGTCTGGGACAGCCAAGGCTCCTTCAGGAAGATACTGGTCTGACCCTTTCAGTGGCCCAACCTTGCCCACGGGAAGAATCTTCAGAACTGGGGCTGGCACTGTAAGACTCTGCAATGAGAAAAGGATAAAGCAACCAGGTGCTCCTGCCCACCCCGCCTTACCCGCAGTGGCTTGCAGTTTTCCCTAACATAACGGCCAGCAGAGGTGTTCTCATCCCAGTCCAGGCGGCCATGGTAGAAATATTTTTGCTTCCTGTCAGAGTAAGAGGTGGGAACAGGTTACATCCAAGCACCAAACACCTTGCAGCAGAAGCAACGCGCCAGCCCTGCCACTAATCTGCCGGGGGCACACACATCACTCAGGACACTGCAGCAGCACGGACTGACTCAGCAGGCAGCTGCAAAGTTTGATCCCTTGAAGAGAACCGCTCTACATAAAGCGGGGAAGAGCCAGGAAGCCTGCAGTGCCCAGCTGGCCTTTCTCACCTGGTCTTCCGGATCATCCGAGAAGGAATTGGCCCCAAGATCCTCTCCATCATGGCCAGGTGCTCCCGGTTGTCATGTGTCTGAGGGAGACAAGCATAAAGGGGAGGCATGAAACAGATTACAGTCTTTCTGCCTCCAGACCCGGGTGATTCCCAGTTCAGAACCCCCTGCTGGCCAACGCCTCGGTCATCTCTACAGGCCTGCAGTGATGGAGGAAACTCCATCAGCCCCAGAGGCTCCTGGCTGTGCTGGGCAACAGCCACATCCTCTTTCACCAGTTGTGAGGAAGCCACAGAGCATACGGTTCTCACCTGAAACAGGGTGAAACCCACATAATACTCAAAGATGATGCAGCCGATGCTCCAAACATCACAGGGCTGGCTCCAGCCAAGCTCTAAAAAACAATGTATTGAAAAGAAAATACAGTTATGGCCCCGGATTCCAAGTCCCTCTCCCTCACCCTTTTAAAAATCAACAAGTAACTGGAAAAACAATTCCCATTCTGGCCTTCTCCTGCTACATTAGTGGCAATACGCTGCCCAGCTGATAGCAATGCCAAAACCACCAGTTTCAAGTTGTTGCCCCCAGCCCTCTCTGAATTAATCCAGCAGGCAGCTCCCCGTGCCCTCGAGACAAACGCCTGCAGCTGCAGAAAGGCCAGCGAGAACCTACCCAGTATGACCTCCGGGGCCCGGTAGTGCCTGGTGGAGACAATTGTGCTGTGATGCTCGTGATCAAATGTGGCACTGCCAAAGTCCACCACTCTGATGGCCGTGCTTTTCACACTCCGCTCATCTCGCTTCTTTGTGAGGGAGAAAGACAGCATTACTCAGCAGCTTCCAAACAAGGACCAACACACAAGGACCTTACACAACTGAGGCTTGCCACAGGAGACCAGGGGAAGGGAATGCTTTGCAGGGTCTATTAGTGCTGGCGCATACCCTCCAACGTGCAGCACAGCACCTCCCAAAAAAAACTCTCATTCAGCTGGAGTCTGTGGTCTCCATAGCTTACTTGTATACAGGCAGTTCACCCAGATTTGTCCTGAACAAACACGTGAACGCAGCCAGCCAACACTATCTCCTATAGCCCAACTCCTCCCCGTGCTAAGGTCAGGGACAACAAGAACCCGAGAGGACACTTCTAGAGCAAAGCTGTTGCGTTACCTTTTCCAGGTTATAGGTGAGTTCGTAGTCAGAGTTCACAAAGAGGATGTTCTCGGGTTTGAGGTCAGTGTGAGTGAGTTTATTGTCATGCAGAACTGAGGGAGCAAACAGAACCAGGGTCAAGAAACAGAAGCAAAACGATGCTGCATCCACCTGATGAGCAAACAGCATTAACTTGGGTTGCTGCTGGCACAGTTTTAGCCCATGTTTGAAGTTGGGTGTGAACAGACAGGCCAGTCTAGGCCAAGGTGCTTCGACAGAAGCACAAAGATTGATCGCATCGATCACCAGAACGTACACAGGGAGGTGGAGGCTGAAGTGCTCTGGGCAGCTGCCAGCCCACAGGCATCAGAAGCATTATAACCAGGCAAAGAAAAAGGATTCACCCCAGGCACACATTCACCAGGGAGGGGCAGGAAGGCTCAGTCTCAGGACTGGCACAGCAGCACTGTGGCAAAAACTCATTGCATCAGGCCACCAGCTGCAGAACTGGTGCTGAAGTTGGGAGCCACACAGCTCTCCAGGTCAGTCACGGACCAGCAGAGAA